TTGCGATCTACGACATTGAGTCTCTGGGCGAGGAAGCTTCTGAACCTATATCCGTCGCGCCGAATAAAGCGCCCAAAAATCCGCTATGCCCTACCAAGACACTATCACTTCGGCCGGAAAAGCTTGAATTCGAATCAGACGTCGGACACCTCGACAACATTGGAACGCGATTAGTGGACCACCCGGACTCTCGAGATAATTTCGATCTATGGGAAGAACTTCTTCGGTACCGCCAGCGTCACTATGGTGACAATGGCACGTTACAAATATGGGAAGGGTTGACAGTCCGGCTGGACGGGGTTCGACTGCCGATCACAGGAGAACAGGCGGACTTCTTCTGGCAGAGCTTCGTGGACCTGGGACTGAGGCGGGAACTTTATCTGGACAGTTTGCTTGAATATGCCGTCAATCTGTGGAAGCGACAAGGCGATCGATGGCCGCAGTTATATGTGAGGATCGTGGGTGGGCTTCTGGACCAGGGCATGCCGAAACGTGCGCTTGAATATCACAAAAAGCTGCAAAAATCCCAGATTGCTGGCGCAAATGATATTATGCAAATTCTTCCATCAGCGATTCGTCTATCGTCTCTTCCAGCTGGCATGGAGGTGGCAACTACCACGGATCCACAGGAGTTCTCCTTGACACCTGGGTTAGAGGCGTTCCAGGCAATTTGCTCCGCAACCACCGACCACAAAATATATGGCCCGGCAATTGCGATGCTTATACGGCAAGGCCAAGGAGAGGGCGCAATCTCCATGCATCATTTCCTCGCTCGGCGCCAGGATCATCCACAAAGTCCCGATGAAATACAGCCACTGCTTGAGTTTGTGGAGAAATTTGGACGACGAAAAGAGTTTAATAGGCTTCGTGGCTATGTTAAAAAGCGGTTTGATACTGAAGGTTCGATTGATCAACCCGGTCCAATAGGTCCAACCCTGAAAGCCGACGGAAAACGCACAAAGGACGGAAGGCCATTCAAAGACGACATCGGTGCGAAGATGTTCGCTACCCGTGCTCTCAATTTCGACATGGTTCTCGGTGGACTCAAGATGCTCGGAGTATCAGAAATTGGCCCACGCACGCTGCGAGAGATGGCCATCAGAGCTCACGGCAACCAGGACATTCTGGAGAAACTCAAAATTCTCAAACAATCTGGCATTTCTGTGGGAGATTCTATATTTGCGCGCTTGCTTCAGAAACTCGCAGCGCAAAACCGTGACATCCTTCTTTCAGATATCCTCCGCAGCGACCAACACCCGGATGTTCTCGAAGATGTGCGCATGCAGGAGACAATGTTAGTATCCTACTACATGGCTCGGGATTGGCGACTATATAATATGACACTGGCAATTTTGACGGAACTGCACCCTGAGGCGCCTGATCTCTTCGACATCCATTTCCGAAAGCACATCGCAGCCTGGGAATTAAGTGCGGCAGCCAAGGTCACCGACGAGCTAGCGCTAAATGGCCGGACTTTAAGTGAAGACAGCGTGGACTTTATGGCTGAGCAGGTTCTCACCCCACGCCGAATGAACCACCGTCCGCCTCCGGGCCAGCGCCTCTCCGCGGTTGACGAGGTCCTTTTCATCTTCAAGATTTTGAAGCGTGTGGTTCCAGCAGGAGGGTATGTCAGTGCTGCATTTTGGGTGGAGATGCTTAAGCGACTCGGCATGGCAAATGCGTGGGCAGACTGGGACAAACTCCGAGATTGCTGCCAGTGGCTCGTCTGCCAATATGTCGGGACCACCAAACAGACTCCCTGGGCACAAGTCCCCACCACTGCAGCTCCGCTTGACTCTACAAACCTGGCAAATGGTCGCGATCGACGGATGCTCGATTTGGTCTTCACACCCCAGATGCAAGCTGCCATTGTCTCCTGGGGATTCATGTTTCGAGTGCTCGACACAACCGCGTCAAGATTCACCGTTTCCCATCCTACGACGAATGTAAAACTCATTCCATGGGTCCGGGGCCTCATTCTTCTTCGGGAATTGGAAGCATCAGGTCTTCGTCTTGATAAACGCTTGATCTCACAAGCAGTCCGACACCGAATGGCCATGCTCTACAGCCACCACGTCCTTTCAGCACGGCGCATGAACCGCATGCTGCGGCGGCGAAATCCGTATCCACTACAAAAAGTCCTGGACGACGTCTTCTGCGCTTGGGGCGACTCAACTCTTTTCGATGGAATGGAGAAAGATTGGGAGCGATTGGTAAATCCGCCACGATCATCTCGGGCCAAGCGACGTGCTCCTGGTATACGTTTGTCCCTTAAAGGGCTATGAAGCGTAAGGCGTCCATTGTAAATTAGCATGTAATTGTGAATAAATGAATATAATACCCATTAAAACACTGAGCCTCCACGGACACGTACATGTATATTATTCATATGAGACATAGGAGATCGTCAGGGATTGCCACCATAATTAATAGTTGCCTGGTGCCTAGACTATTAAAGAATGAATATGCGTAAGCCTGCAAAATTGGAGTCGCAAGTAAAAGGGCTGCCGAGCCCCAATGGCAGTGCACTGCAGATCCACCATCTAAGAATAGTTGAGACGGCAACGCGGCCTCTGTAAACATCTGCTGCTACTCCCTCTTAAGTCCACATACTTGTCTTATTTGTACTCCTTCATATTTACCCTATTTTCGATACTATTATACTTTATATACCATGCGCGCATTCAACTTCCTGGCCTTGCTGCCCGCCGTCCTTGCGAATCCAGTGATCCACAAGCGTACGACAGCATGCAACAACTCGCCCGACCTTTGCTCCAAGACCTATGGCCAAATCACACATCTCGGCGCTCATGACAGTCCCTTCGTGCGCGACTCAAGTACCAGTAACTCGGTCGCTGGTGACCAGTACGTTCCCCGGATTTGAGCTCCGCATCTTCACTCTAACGCAGGCTAGGTACTACGACACCAAAACACAGCTGTCAGCCGGTGTCCGGCTAGTAACAGCCCAAGTCCACAAGAGCAACTCACAATGGCGTCTATGCCATAGCTCCTGCAACATTCTAGACGCAGGCTTGCTGAGCGACTGGCTGAAGGACATCAAGAGCTGGCTGGATGACAACCCTAACGAAGGTGAGACGAATGCACGAAGATATCCCCAAACAAACAAGCATGGGACTAACACATTTTAAAAATAGTCGTCACGATTCTTCTCGTCAACTCCGACGGCGCAACCGCCTCAGAACTCAATACCGAGTTCACGACAGCAAACATAACAGACTACGCCTACGAGCCGACCTCCCAAAGCTCCGCTCCAAGCACCTGGCCAACCCTCCAAACAATGATCGATGACGGCAAGCGGCTAGTCACATTCATATCATCCATCGACGCGAGCACCTCTTACCCCTACCTACTGGACGAATGGACCTACGTCTGGGAGAACCCCTACGACGTGACTTCCGCCTCAAACTTCAGCTGCCAACCCGACCGACCCTCTACCTACTCAGGCAACCTCGACTCCGCACTCTCATCCAACCTCCTCCCATTCATGAACCACTTCCTCTACTCGAGCGACCTATCAGCCTTCGACATCGAGTACCCCAACGCCAGCTACGTCGCAACGACCAACGCGCCTTCTGGTGGGACTGGTAACCTGGGCACTGCGGCATCGGATTGCAAGTCTGCATGGAATGGCCGTCAGCCGACGTTCATCCTGGTCGATTTCTTCAACCAGGGTCCGGCTATTGATACCGTCGACAGCTTGAACAATGTTACCAACGCAGTGGGTCGTACGTCGGTTTCGACTGCGGCGTCTAGCTCTACCAGTGATGCTTCTTCTTCCAGCAACGCTTTCAAGGCGCTACTTGATTTGGCGCAGTCGGCGAAGACTGGGACTGAGGTTTCTATGGGTAATTGGATTTGGGTTGGTGGAAACTGGGGCAATCTCCTTGGTGGAGGTATCTCCTTCTAAAATGGTTTGTCTTCTACTTCTATCTTCTGATCTGATATTGGTATTTGAAGCGTTTTGTTGTTATATTTCGGGCATTTTGTCGGTCAAATGTGTGGGTTTGGGTCCTGGGTGCTCATTCTGCCTTGGATGTATCGGTATATAGCGGGTGAATATTTCACCTACGCGAAAGGGCTGGCGTTTTGGTTAGAATATGGGTAGACTGGGATGTTACACGTGTGTCAATATATAGCCTTTATGAACGAAGACATGTGAACTCTTTTCAAGACTAACGTAGTTGGTCTTTCTCTATAACGTTATCATTAGCTTACGGCATAAGAACCTATGCGAATGAAAATAGAAAATGTTCAATGCTATCTATTCCCTGCAGATAGCTTCTTACTGCTAATATGTATAAAGTATGGATTTCATGAAGTCCCCGAGTTCAAAACACTAGAAAATATTGAGACAACAGATGTAGCATAAAGTGTAGGGTCATGCTGCCTAATATAACGGCATAAAACAGGCCATCCCATCGAATTTTGTATTGTAATTCTTGCAATCAAAAGAAAAGAAGCGGCGTAAACGTAGACATTTTGATCGAATACCACTAGAAGCAATTTCAAGAGACACTATGTCGGTTACTATAAGACGACGTTTCCAAGGTTACATTGCATCATCTGGCCGACAATCCCAGTCTGGCGCTTGGTATTTGTGAAAGATAAGAATAGCAAATGAAATGAGTTGGTAGACCTCGTTATCCAGGGATGATTTTGCCTGGGTGGATGTCCCCTACGAATCTGTCCAATATGGAGTGCCAGAGGGGGATGGTAAACCCCGTGATATCGGGGATACTTTCCTTTGTTCAGAGTACAGGTTTCTATAACCCAGTCCATTCTATAAGCAGTCCATTCTAGATTATGTTTTTATAGATCGCCCGCATGGGCTGCATATCGTGCTTACTAATGAATCATCCGGACTGCCCAGCTGCACCTCCGACATCATTTGCCAACCTACAGCTCCCTGACATGGAATAACTCTCTATTGTCTGCAATATCTTCCTTCTGTGACCAGGAAGACCGGAAATAAACCAACTATGGACAGGATACGCAGCCTCATGGCCCGTCCAGCGGCATATGAGCCTATCAACGAGTTCGCAGACGATACCGATGGAACGACACGAGCGCAACGACGGGACGAATCTCAGTTCTCAAGACTAGAATATGGAATTTTTTTCCTCCTTGGGATATCCATGCTGTGGGCCTGGTAAGTGGGATCCAGCATCGGAACACGGAGAGCAAGCGCATCGAAGAACCACGAAGCTAACGTGGAGCACCTTATAGGAACATGTTCCTTGCCGCAACACCGTATTTCTACACTCGGTTCCAGTCCGATGACTGGACAAGACTACACTACCAACCGTCTATTCTCTCAGTCTCAACTGTCACCAATCTCGGGATCGCCTATATTCTAGCAAAGCTGCAGAAGAACGCATCATACCCATGGCGCATAACGCTCTCGCTGTTGATCAACTGTGCCGTGTTCGCAGTTCTCGCATTCTCGGCCATCGTATTTAACGATGTGTCTGCGCGGGCTTACTTCGGTTTCTTGATGGTAATGGTGTTCGGCGCAAGCTTGGCAACCGGTATCAACCAGAACGGCGTCTTTGCGTACGTTTCTGGGTTTGGGAGAGACGAATATACGCAGGCAATTATGAGTGGACAAGGTGTTGCGGGTGTGCTGCCTTGTATTATTCAGATCTTCTCTGTGCTTGCTGTGCCGTCGGACGAGGACAGCGTTGATCGTGACCCGGGCCAGGTTCAAGACCCGAGCATGCCGCAGACTACTTCATCGAGATCGGCTTTTGTCTACTTTATCACTTCGACGGGCATCTCGGTGATTGCGCTGTTGGCTTTTCTATATCTTCTCAGGAACCAACCTCAGTCCAGGCAAAAGGTGGCAGGAGCGGACGATGAGTCCATTGCTGATGAGCACGAGCATTCCAGGACCGTCAGTCTGTGGACTTTGTTCACAAAGTTGCGGTTCCTGGCGTTCGCTGTTTTTATGTGCTTTCTGGTCTCTATGGTCTTTCCGGTCTACACGGCGGAAATTCAATCCGTCAATGACCCTGCTAGCTCACGGATCTATGACCCCAGCGTCTTTGTTCCCCTGGCATTCTTACTCTGGAACCTCGGTGACTTGGTCGGGAGAATGGGCGTGGCTATTCCCGGGGTTTCCCTGGGCAAATATCCTCAAGTGGCTGCTATCGTGGCCATTGCACGGGTCATGTTTATTCCAATCTACCAACTTTGCAACATCAACGGCAAAGGGGCTGTTGTGAAGAGTGACATTTTCTATCTTGCTGTACAATTTCTGTTCGGCGCTACCAATGGGTACCTGGGGACGAGCTGTATGATGGGTGCCAGCCATTGGGTGGTTGCTGATGAGAGGCCGGCTGCTGGTGGTTTCATGAGCATGGTACTTGTGGGTGGCTTGGCTGCTGGAAGCATCTTGAGTTTCTCTGTTGCCAGTACATAAGTACAACTTCAGGTATCTGCTGTCAATACAATAGACATGTTCATATATCACGAATTACGAGTAAGGAATTTCCTTCACAATCAAATATTTCGGTTAGGGCATACCCTTTGTCTACTTGTAAACTCCTGAGTCAGACTTAAATGTGGTGATGAGACTAAACGCGTAGGCGTGTGCCCTAACTTGTGCTTCAAACTCGAACTTAGACGGTATACTCCTTAGTATCTTTACCACTATATTCGCCCCCAACCATCTTGTATAGGTTTGCACCCTGTAGACAAGGCAATGTACCTCTCGCCTCTCTTATTCTCACTTGCTATAATCCAGTTTCACGCGGGTTTCCCGTCCCTTGATCCCAAATCCCCGGACCCCTGCTCTTCTTCTTCCTTCTTCACCTGTCCCCTTCCCTGCATCCGGTGCTTCTCACCGCCAGTCCGTTTGAAGCAGTTGGCTTCGGTTTGGAAGCGAAGTTGTCTTCATCTTTGGCCTGTACTTTAGGTTCTAATATCTGTTCATAATGTTTTTTGATTCTGTGGTTGTGGGTTTTGGCTGGCACTATGCCCTAACCGACCTGTCTGGCTGGAACATGTTGTCCGCTTTTCTTCTGTTGGTGAGTTATGATACAGAAAAGCAAAATTAAAAGATATGCTTCTCACCAAGGCTGCAACTTCTATAGTTGTTGGCTTACAATGTCGGTTGCATCGTCTACAACCTGTACATCCACCCTCTGTCTCGCTACCCCGGACCCAAGCTTGCTGCCATCACTCCTCTTGTTCACCTTCTCTGGGATATCCAGGGTAAGCAGCACACGACTATGAAGGCCCTGCATGACCAGTATGGAGATGTGGTCCGCATCGCCCCGAATGCCCTAGTCTACCGCGCCGCCCCAGCCTGGAAAGACATCTACGGCCACCGCAAGAAGGGACACAAAATCTTCCTCAAGGACCCGGCTTTGTATGCACCCACTCCGAATGGAGTCGATGCAATCATCACAGCAAATGAGGAGGATCACTCCCGGATGCGCCGTTTGCTAACCCACGCCTTCTCGAACAAAGCCCTGCGCGAACAGGAGGAATTCCTCCAGAAATACGCCGACATGTTCATCGAGAAGCTGCAGGAAATCATGGGCAGTTCTGTCTCGCAAGATCTCGACATCACTCGCTGGTTCAACTTTACCACCTTTGATCTAATTGGCGATCTTGCATTCGGCGAGCCCTTCGGCTGTCTCGACAACACTAAGTACCACTGGTGGGTACTGGTAATTTTGGACGCCGTCAAGGCCAGTGCCTATCTGAAATTCTTTTGGTTCTACCCTTTCCTCGTCCCTCTGGTAAAATTCCTGGTCCCAAAGCACCTCCTCGAAAAGCGCCAAGCCAGCTTCGACCTGAGCGTTGAGAAAGTCCGTCGTCGGCTCGCTCGTGGAACCACCAGGCCTGATTTCACCTCATACATCCTCAAGCATTCCACTGATGGAAAGGGTGTATCCCCGGAGGAGATGGATGCTAATGCGGCTGTCTTCGTTCTCGCTGGTAGCGAGACCACTGCTGCTCTGTTGTCTGGCTGTACTTATTATCTCCTTCGCAACCGTGATAAGTACGAGCGACTTCTGCGCGAGATCCGTGGTGCCTTCAGCTCCCTGTCCGAGATCCAGCTGACTTCTCTTGTTGACTTGCCCTACTTAAATGCCGTCCTGACCGAGACCATGCGCGTTTACCCTCCCATCCCGTCTATGTTACCACGTATTGTGCCCGAGGGTGGAGCTTTCATTAATGACAAATACGTCCCTGAAAATGTGAGTCGAGTTACTGATCTGTTATGTGTTGTGTGCTACGACGTGGGCAACTTGGAGCTTGTTTTAAATCAAACATCAAAACATGGTCTGATCTTCAAACAAAATATGTATTCTAACAACCACAAACCCAGGTCTCCGTATCAATTTCGCTATTCTCAGCCTTCAACGCAGCTTCCCACTTCAAGAACGCCGAGTCTTTTATCCCAGAACGCTGGCTCGCTGAGTTCAAATGCTTCGAAAACGACAACAGGGACGCCTTTCAGCCCTACTCATACGGACCCCGGAACTGCCTTGGTCAACAGTGAGTTATATATTATACACGGCCCCAAACTCAAAAAGAAACCCCAAACACTAACAACACCAACCAGCCTCGCCAACGCCGAAATGCGCCTGCTCATGGCCAAATTTCTCTGGACTTTCGACATGGAATTGCTCCCCGATTCCATCAACTGGACCGAGCAGCAGTCCTTCGCTCTCTGGAAGCGTCCCGCCCTCAACATCAAGCTCTACCGCGCTGGTGCCGCCATTGCGCTGTGAGAAACAGATAATTTTCTAGGGCATCTACCTGCGCAGCATACCTAATGTACCCCAACAAGTGTCTGCCGATGTCCGGACCGAGAGAACTCTCATCCAGCGAAAAAGTGACCAAAGGCTTCCCTAATTGTTAATTGTTAATTGTTCTTTTCTTTCACAGAGACGGGACTGAAGCATTCCGACAGCTTTTGGTCCTGGGGTCTACATGTAAAATACACCGGAATTCCCCAGCTTTATTTTCCCGCCTATGAGCGTCCATAGAGCCAGCGGAGCTACCTGCTTCACTATGAACCCCTTCACAGCGGGGTTACACTATATGTAACTTCGAGTGAATTTCCGAGACTAGAGGAATAATTTACCCCGTTGTTCATATGCTAAGTATCTGGGCATGCAGAGGTGAATAAAAGCTGGCGAAATGGTATATAAAGCGAACTCCCTAGCCATGACTTACGCAAGCCTACCACAAACACCAGAATGCAACCAATATCGAGCACCTCGCCCTTTTCCTTTACCCTCCTTCTCTCACTGATAGCAGGAGCAATAGCAAACCCACCAACGGCAACCCTCTCCACCACAAAAATCTCCAAAACAGTATTCATAGGCCGCACCCTACCCGAGTTTAACCAAGACCTCTTCCTAGGAATAAAATACGCCAACAAGCCAGCCCGATTTACGCCCTCGGAGCTGAAAACAACATACGCCTCCAACGATAGTAACTCCGGTCCATACAATCTCGCCATAGCGGGGACTAGCACCAATGCCAAGGCGGTATACTACAATGCCACGCAGTATGGCTATGACTGTCCAGCTTATGGATCTGATACCACCAATCTGGTGAATCAGGGTTTTGTTTCGCTAAAAGAGGACTGCCATAACTTAAATATTGTGAAGCCGCAGTCTGCGACGGATGAGTTACTTCCTGTTGTTATTTGGATTTTTGGGGGCGGGTGGACGCAGGGTGCTACTGCTGATCCCAGGTATGTTTGCTACTTTTATGTGTATATTATATGGCTGACATTATGTTCTACTAGGTATAACATGAGTTATCTTGTTCAGCAGAGCGATTTGAACGACAAGCCTGTTCTGGGTGTTTCTATCAATTATCGGCTGTCGGCGTTTGGATTCCTTGATTCCGACGAAGTGAGGGTAAGATAATGGATGTATGGATTCGACAATTCGAAGTATTGACTGAGCTATTAGGCCGAGGGGAATACCAATCTGGCATTGCGTGATCAGCGCATTGCTATGCGTTGGGTGAAGAAGAATATTAAAGCGTTTGGTGGTGATCCGAATAAGATCACTATCTGGGGCGAGTCTGCGTAAGAAGCCCGAGAGATATTCTTTTCTCATATCCGAATGTGATACTAATGTCTTAGCGAACAGTGGTGCTTACAGTGTTGGAGCTCACCTTGTCACCAACAATGGTGATAATGAAGGTCTCTTTAGGGCTGGTACGGGCAATATCCGAACACATCTTACTTAATGAGCACGATACTGAACACAAACAGCAATCATGGAATCAGGAAACGCTGTTGGGCCCCCCTACAACGGAACCGAATGGCATCAGCCAATGTACGACCGTATCGTCGAAAGAGCCGGGTATGTCATACCACAATCCACCAACGAAACTGAATACTTTGCGGAGAGAAACTAACATATAACTCAATATCAGATGCACAAACTCCACGGAAACCCTCCAATGCCTCCGCGATCTACCATACGCAACACTATACAGCGCCGCCTATGAAGGGTTAGAATGGTTCGCTACAATAGATGGCGCATTCATCTCCCAGTATCCCCAAATAAGCTACAAGCAAGGCAAACTATCCAAGGTACCCATACTCCTCGGCACGAACACAGACGAAGGAACCAGTTTCGGAACGACGGGGACAAATACCGACGAGGATTGTATTGACCAGTTGATCTGTAAGTGTAACATTCACCTTCCACATAACCATCGAAGTATAACTATACTTCGTACTTATGCTGACAACAAAACACCCAGCATCTAAGCGCTGGGTGCTCAACCGCTCCCAGGCAACACAGCTTATATCCCACTACCCCAATGTATCAGCCATCGGCTGTCCCTACGGATGGGGAAATAAAACCTGGCCCTCATTGGGACTTATGTATAAGCGATATGAATCAATGGCTGGGGATATAACAATGGTAGCACCGCGGCGATTACTAGCGCAGACGATGTCCGGTTTCCGCGATAGGGTTTACTCGTACCGCTGGGACGTCGCCGCGCAGAATAGTTCAAGCACGATTGGGGTGCAGCATTTTGCAGAGGTATGCTGATACTATCTTCCATCTAGGTTACTCTCGTGGTCGATTTACTAACTGGGGAATGGCCGTTTAGATCCCTTTCGTCTTTGCTAATCCCATTCAGACGATTACGCCTCTAGGCTCTGACCCTGCCCGTCTAGACCTTGGACAACTGGCTGCACGGATGTGGACTTCTTTTGTGGCGGACTTGGACCCTAATGGGCATGGCGGTTTGTTTATCTACTTAGAGTCCTGTTAATTTAGAGATTTGAAATGCTGACGGTTTATAGTGGCTGATATTCCTGAGTGGACTCGGTATTCGGATCGTGCTGCTAATTTTGTTTTCCGGTTACCTCGGAATGAGAGTTATGTTGAGGATGATGGATATCGTGTTGACGGAATTAAGTATATCAATAGTATTGCGCGGTGAGGGGCCTAGGGAGGAAGGTATGTATTGATACTTAATATTCTCCTACCGAGAGTGTTCCTTACCTGTGTATATTTTATTTTCTGTGGCAATTGTTGATATCGTAGTAGGAAATTTGATGGCTCATCTTCCGGTGGCAAGATGTTGTAGCCTTCAAGTTTTCTCTAAACCACTCTACTATGTTCATTGGCACGATATAGATCTAACTTTAGATAAAGTACCGATTATCAGATAAAGATTGGTTGTGCCTCGATCAGCCCAAGGTATCCTTCTTTTAACTGCCGGCATAGAACAAGCTGAACCAGAGAGCCTATAGCAATAACCCCTATCCCATTCATGAAAAGCCGTCAGACAATCATCTGAGCCGTAATTATCTAGACCTACAGTACGCCCGACCATCTACTACAAAAGTCTACTTGAGGAGCACGAGAAACAATGGTAGATGCATGCCAGTCCACTCGACTTTCTTCGTGGGACTAGTCATGTCAAGGGACAGCAAGAGACCGCATTTTTATTTCGACATTGATGTGGCCTGCCCACTTGAAAATGGGAACAGGATCAAGCCGGTCTTATCTCGACATATTTATCTGAGTTGCGGACCAAATTTCGGCGAATGGCGTTTAATTTAAGCGCTCTTGGTGCCGATCTTAAGGAGCTCGACCTCGCTGTGGAGAGTTAGCCAGAATGTTCTGTCTGATTGAAGGAAGAGAACGCAGTATAACCTACAAGACAAGGCGGGAGTTCTTGGGGATCAGACCGGGGAAGCCACTAAACATACTCGTTAGTATTCAGCTTATACTCGGTACCTCGGGAATGCGGGGGTAAGGGTCGCAAGTATTCAGGTAAGCTTATACGTACCGCTCACCGTAGCCGAAGTCGCTAAAGAATGTTAGAAAAGTGTCTATCACAGCTTCCACGGGATAACTCACGAGCTGATGGTCAGGATGGCCTTCTCGCCGAGGCTCATCTGAGGAACACCCTCGTCCCAGCCTGTATAGAGAGCAAGTCAGCAAACTACTCTGTGATTACCCAAAGTGAACTAGGCATGTTGTCATCCAGGATAAGACCAAAGGGATCACGCACCGCGGATGAGACGACCGACACCGATGGGAGTGGCAAGGGGCCCACGGCCAGGTTTGTGGGAGCTGTCGAACCTGTTGGGTTGAGAATAGGTTAGCAAGTGGATCACATCGAGATGGAGAGGATGGAGCTTACTCGGCGCCCATGAAGTGGTTGTCGGACTTGCTCTCGTCATAGAGGCAGCCAGTGTAGTGGATGGCGACGTGCTCACCCTTCTTAGGGTAGTCAACGCCGTTGCCCTCCTTCAAAATCTTCTTTTCGACGCCCATTGTGAATGTGGTAGGATTGGATTGGAGATGAGTGAGATGAGAGAAAAGGATGTTGACGAAAACTGAGGGGCAACGGACTATCCACTTTTCTCCGGAGCGGGACACCTCTTGTCAATGCGCTATGTGGCGGTACCAGATGCTTGATTGAGCTCATAGTTTGACGACAGAGCTTTATATTCACAGCCCTAGCTCATACCACCAAACAAGATGTCTATTAAACCCAACTTGAGAGTCGGGGCATCAATTGCAAAGTGAGGTCATAAGTATACACTTCCGAATGCGGTTTAGCGTTCCCATTCAGGGCTAGCGGGGCTCTGCATATATCTCACAGCTTGACATCTATAGCCCTTACCTGAACAGCAGGTCAATCCAGCACTGGTTTATGTCTCTTCTGAAGAAGTATAAGTCGCATATATTCGGTTCTGATCTGTCTGTATATATACTGAAGCGAACAGAAGACGCGGTGAATGCAGACGCACCAGCTCCAGGCTTTCAAGATGCTAGAGTTCATGTTGCCACCCAGAACAGCTTCAAGGCTGCTAAGTTACCCATGGGCTAGCACGGCCCACATAACGCGCACCGCTGGTCCCCACGTCATACCATACTATTGGCCCTGCGCTGGAACTGCATCTGGATCATGCGTATTTTATGGGTTGCCGTCAGAGTCGAGACCAGGTGCAGTAAGAGACATACATGGAAATCAACGAGATGGACCAACATCTAAAAGGCCAATATTGTCATGGTCATGATCTCATGCTTGGAGATTATACACCTTGCAGAATCTACTTGCATGTGCAGAGCGGAACTCCTCCGCTAGTCTCATGCGAACGCCTTTCCCATGCAAAGACGAGGGATTCACCCCTGTCCAAATGGATGGATTAAGAGCTTTTATTCTGGCACGGCAAGGGTCAAGATAAGGGTGAACGATGGGACAGCGGACCCTTATAATAATAATCGTCGACACCGAGCCTGCTCCGACCGATCGCCGAAATCCTGTATTAACTAACTACTCCTTTGGGACCAGACACCGAAGAGAACCGGCATTTGCTAGGTCCAGACTCGGCGCAACGTCAGAATAATGATCTGTAAAATTTTGATAGGCCTGTCAGACACGCAAAGATACGGAGATCGCTCGGTGCAAACTCGGTTGAGTCATTAAAGAAAGGCTTTCAGCCCTGAGTATATTATATTTTTTTCCCTTGGTTAATGTTAGAATTTTAAAGTTGGCTCCATACATATATAACATGCCTGGTCGCATCTAAAATAGACGGAATTCAAACCAGTCCACTCTACCATCAGGGCGTTCTTTTGCCATCCCGCAAGCCTCCATACACCATGAGCAACGCAACGTCTATCAAACCTACGAGCTCCGAGCTCTTGGACACTGTTCCCAACACTTCACCTCAATCCTCCCACCAATCGTCTCTTTTTTCTCGCTTTAAGAAGCACATCCACGACTTGAAGAAGGAATGGGGCCCTTGCATGGCTGCCAAGGAACACTGGCAAGACGAGTACACCTTCGCACCTGGCAGATATGCTGGTCAGGGACACAAACGAGAAATTTGAATGGTAAGTCCCAGCACAAACGAAACATCTGACATGGTTTTCTAACTTTTATTGAAATTTACAGAAGCTCGAACGGCAAACATACCGCCACCTGGATTGATTCGGGCGCTATACGGTACAATGAGATGGAATCGGTTAACTTATAATTAATGACTGCAAAGACCTTAATGAATAATGTAATCATAGACTGGAATACATAAATCTTTTTTCACTGATCGGAAATTATGTTCTCTTTTATTGTAATGGCGAATGGGTTGCGTATTGTGGCCGTTATAGTGTTCAAGTACACCCAGGTAGCATTGACTGCACTTCACATAACTTACCACTTCGTAGTTTCTTCATCCAAGTCAACTTGTCGCATTTGACAAGTCATGGTCTTAGTTCTATTATCTCGACTTGTGTTCACAATTTAATATATGCGTCAACACCCCCAATAAACGAGACCTACAGATATCCATGGCATATAAAGGGAATAGAAATTTCTACCTGCCCTATACGTACATCTGTGTCTCTTTTCTTTTTCTATGTCTTTGTGTTCTGTTTCACTTTCAGGTTGCCCATAGATTCCCGGGGCTATCTATGCTTAGTCATCACACCTCAACCGCCGATAAGAGAAAAAAACCTTCCAGAGTCTCATCAACCACGTTTATATCAACATACCAGCTCAACGTCACAATGGGTGTTCAGAGGAAGACCAGAAAGTTCGCCTTGGCCAAGAGGGCCATCACCATGCGTGATAATCGCCTGTTCGTCACCCCGAATCCCAAGTCTTGTCTCCAACCCGCTAACACAAATCCAGGAAGCAAAACCAAGACAAGAAGGAAGAGGAGAAGAAACCTAAGGATGACCTTATCAGAGAAGCGTGAGTAATCTCTTGCAGCTTCACAAACGCAAAAGTCTAACAAACCCCTAGTCCCCAGGCTCCTTCGTCCATGTTCTTCCAATACAACACAGCCCTCGCTCCCCCGTACTCCGTCCTGGTGGATACCAACTTCATCTCCCACACCATTCAACACAAGCTCGAGGTTATCCCAAGCATGATGGATTGTCTATATGCAAAGTGTATCCCGATCGTCACAGACTGCGTGCTCGCCGAGTTGGAAAAGTTGGGCCCGAAATACCGTCTCGCCCTACGTGTGGCCAAGGACACCCGGTTCGAGAGAGTCAAGTGTGACCACAAGGGTACCTATGCGGATGACTGCCTCGTCGACCGTGTTATCAAGCACCGTGTTTACATTATTGCCACCAACGATCGTGATCTCAAGAGACGTATTCGGTAAGCTCTGCACACTTGAGAAAGTTGAGGTAATCATTCTGACTTTTTCCTAGTAAAATTCCTGGTGCTCCCATTATGAGCGTTGCTCGTGGAAAATACGTTATTGAGCGTCTTCCAGATGCCCCTGAGAAGTGAGCGCATTTAAACGATCTTCTGTTGCGTTCGGCCTGGCGTCTTGTTCGCCGGTCTTTTGTTACCATTGCGATACCCACGAATTTCTTTTTCTTTCACCAAAAGTTGCGACGAAACATAAGCGTTCTCTTGTCTCTGGTAACAGACAACCCTCATAACACCCAGGACCGATTGGCGCCAATTTGTGATATCGCATGAAGCGCATTGAAGCAGTGCCAACTACAACTCTCAATTCGGCGGCTTCGAATACAAATCAGCATCAGGTGCGATTGAAGGAGCCCTTCAAGGAAATAGCTGCCAATTAGCCTAGCCGCGGCCCTCATGTTGTTAGATTCTACGATGACCAGCGCGAATATCCCCATGATGGCAAAGCCGATGAGTCGAGGTCCTGCTTGAAATAAGACCAGTGATTGCCCATAGGCCATCTGCTTCCACCCCAGTCGTTCTGGCGGACTGGGTTGCAGCATGTATTATATTTGTTAACAAAATGTTGTGAACAATCGACGAACCGCATCCTTAACGACCCGGTTGTCAGCAAAGCTCTCAATCATCCTCCGCCGCGATATCATGACGTATAGCGGCGGCAAGTCCGCAAGTAGTGACTTGGATTCAACCGAGTCATCATCAGGAGCAGCGATATCAAGAAGCTGCTTCAGTATCCGTAGAGAATACAACGTAGCCTGGATCTGACCGAGGAGCTGAATATCCACCCAATCGGTCCTTTGACCCATGTATCCCTTTGCAAGGAACTTTTCTATTTGCTTCCCACTCGGGGTCACGCTCGCATCGCGGTAGACCTCAGAAAGAGCGAACAAGAACCAGAACCTCTCCGCAGCCAGACTATGCGCGAAGGTATCCCGTGCAGATTCAAGTCGACTGCGAAGTAACCCCAGGTTCGAGTTCACGTACTTTTCCTCGCTGAGTGCTACCTCATCGGCGACAATTCTCCCACCACGGCGAACGTACTCACGCACAACCGAGTACCGGTTATCAGCAGCCCGAGAAAGATTGAAGTATGAATACCCAAGAGCACGATAATCCCGGCCATGCCTCCAAGCACACTGCCTAGCATGATCCTCACTCAAAATCCCAAGGTAAACATGCGGAATTTCCTCCCAGCAATATTTATGAGGAAGTTGATACTGCCAGAACAACTCCGAAACCCTGGGATCCAAATCCTGAACCAACACCCCCGTCTCAACAGAGGGCTGCGAATGTGTACCCTCATCTTCATATTCCCTTAGAAACTCACGATACGCACCCGAAAGCTCCGTCACACCCCCATCATCCTTAGCACCCTGAACAATCTGCGCAAACCTCAAATGAGGATTCCTCGTCAACCGAAACGCAAACCGCCTAATACTAGCAACACCCAACCGACGCGCAAGCGTATGAGGACAAATCCTCAACCCACGTATATCAGGCTCAGCAGGATCCCACACCCCAGAAGGCGTCTGCACAGAATCAAGAAAAACAACCGCACCGTCAGGTCCGAGGTCGTGTAACATAAGATCCGAATCACCAGTTAAAACAGCTGACCCCGTTGCTTTTGCGACACGCGCACACTCCACATCTGCTTCGCCGGGGACCATGACTGTAATCCCAGCCCAGGGATATTCTTCATGGCCGACGAGAGAGGTGACGTCTTCGTCGATTTCTTTGGATATCTGCTCTTTGTTCCACCGGTTTTTGAGGTCTTCGTATACGACCGAGACCATAAATGGGTTCTCAGGGAGGTTCTTTCGTCGGCCGGGTAGGCCGCGACTGCACCAGACTTGGCCTTGCTTGGGGGAGATGAGAGAGCGGGATTTGGGCGCGGGTGGAGGGGCAGGTCTCGCCGCGCGAGCTCGAGTCTTTTGCGGGATTTTTCAATTCTTCCTACGCGCGTTTCGCGTTTTGAAATTGGGAGGGCGCCATCGAAGCATATTTTGTGGCTGTCAAATTGTTGCTGTTAGTGGGATGTACTGGACATGCACGTATGCAAGTTTACCGTGGGGATGGGATGGGATGGCGGGGTGTGGAATGCTCACATTTCAACGCCTAGTTTTCTCAATTGGAGGAGGTAGCTGCATACCCCGTGACTGATCTCATCGCAGCTTGGTTGTACGTCGAGGATGTCGCAGCTTGGGTCTATCCATGAGAGGAGGCGGTGGTGGACATGGTATACTAGACTTGGGCCGTCGATGACGACTCTCCGTACGCGCGCGAGATCTGAGTCCGGCTGCCCGTCCAGTTGGACGTTCTCGGCATATGGGAGGAGGTGTTTGGTGAGGTATTGAATTCCCATAGTGTGGAGGAAATGAATTGTAGGCTGGCGGATATTTTTTAGTGGTATTAGTCAGGGTTTGGGATGGGCCCGTGGACGGGAACTATCGATGGCTGCGATGTTTATTTCAACCCTAAGCCAAACTACAAAATCTACATATCTCATATACAACAGTGGTCATAAATGTGTATACAGTGCCGTGGAAGTATTGAACAAACTCTACAGAAAGCCTCGAAGCGAGTATACCGTTTCATGCAAAGTTTTCGCTCTATATTGACCTCTCTTTTTTCACCTTTTTCTGCCCATTTTAAAATTGGTTAATAGTGATGAGCTAATCATGTAGATTACTTACATAAAGGTTGGGAGGCGCGAAAGGACTTATGGCCTAGTACTGTACGTTGGACAAGCACATATATACGGAATCTTGGTTATGTAGAACCCGGTTGGACTATCCATATATCCCGAAAAAGCATAGACGAATGCATGTATTGATTCGAAGCAACAAATTAGACAGCTCATTTACATACGCCAGACAACCCGTTCAATGACTCTGAATCTTTTACCGAGCAGACCGCAAGAACCCAACAACACCACGACAGTATCCCACCAACTCAGCCAAACGCTTTCCTTCCTGCTCCTGCTCATGAGCCCAGGAAGCCAAAGCCGTCTGCAACAGACGGTACTCAGGCCCATCTCTCTGAGAGCTGAGAGACACAGTATCAGAGTGAATCTTCAAGAAGACCGCCATCCAAGCATTAACCATTTCGAAGTCTCTCTTCGACTTCAAGCGGTTAGTGAGAGCAATGACGAAGTCGGACAATTCAGAATGTCCAGCGCGCACGCGAGGATCCAACGACCGGATCTCGAGATCGGCCTTGGCGGGAGGGAGTGATTTGAGGTGGTCGATGAAGGAATCATAGTTGCCGGATTTATGGCCGGCTTCCAAGGACCGAGTGAAGATGGTCTGGGAGGAGGGGCCGGTATCGCCGTTTTGCAACTTGGCGATGCGTAGACGTTCGGCCTCGGCGGTCTGTGCGAGGAATCCGGCTTCGGCGGCTTCGTTGTTGGAGGCGGCCGGCTCGGGTCCGCTGGAGCTGAGCATGGATGGGAGGAAGAATGGTGCCTTCTCGGGTGCCTTGGGGGCTTCTTTGGGCTTGTTGCGTTCCTGTTTAACTGTTAGTTTGCAATTGCTTCTTCTAATGCTAAAGGTGAGTGTGTCTTACCCGGATAGTATCCAGATGGATCAATGACTGCCATCTGCTCTTAGGAACCAGACTGAGAGTCATCATATCATTTTGTAGTTGTTCAGTCGCCAAAACTGGGCCCTCGGCCTCATCATCTTCAGCGATGTCAATAAACGCGGCCTCAATAAGACCAGCACCACTTTCTCCTGATGTTGCCGGAACGCCAACGTTCTCAATAACACTCTCGTCTAGGTTCTTGGTCGAGATGGGCATGAAAAGACTGCGGTTGCTCCAGAGGCTGATACCAATGCCACCAGCGTGTGCAGTGGCAAGGAATTCGCCTGTGGATGACATGGCCAGGGCGACACATGTGCTGGTTACCCGGAAGATATCGATCAGATGTCCGGTGGGTAGATCCCAAACGCGGACCACCGAGTCCATAGAAGCCGCAATGACCCAGCGTCCGTCGTTTGAGAAGATGAAGTCATTGATCTGACCCACACATCCCCAGAATTCACGAACGAGCTTCCTAGTCTCGAGGTCGATCACGCGGATTGAGAGGTCATCACAGCTGAAGGCGACCAACTCACTGGCCTTGTTGTAGCGAAGTCCAGTAATGGCAGCCATTGGGTGCCAATCAAGCTCGTCAATGAATGATCCAGAAAGAAGGTCCCAGAACTTTACTTTGCCGTCCAATCCACAGCTGACGACGGTCCGGTTCAGACTATCAATCATCAATCCGCTGACAGCTTTGGTGTGCTTTGTCGAGGGCGAAATGTTGAGCTTGCTCACGCGAGACTTTGGTAGACGGGCTGGGAAGCTCTGTCTGTGTTGTCCAGATTGCATGTTATACATGTCAATAGCGCCTCCGGCTGAACCAATGACAGCGAAAGTTCCACATTGCGAGATTGCCACGCTCTGTGAAAGACTAGTTAGTAATGATAATCAATAATAGTCGAGGAAATTTCATACCTTGACTTCCGTTCCATCGCTAGTCGCAAAGGCCCAGCGACCTGCCTTCTTCTTACCCCAGAACCAGGTACGTGCGTATTTGTCGCCCCGATGACCGGTGACCACACTTTCCCAGCCGGTTGCATTGGAAGCATCGGCATTTGTAGCCTTGGGGTTTGACCAAATAGGACCAGATGTGGTGATACCCATACCACCATCACGGTTCAGACTGCAAGCGATACAAGTAATCTCGGGAGCTTTGAGGTCATCCACTGGCGATTTACTCGAGTTACTCTGGCCTGCCTTCTTGGCTTTGCTTTCCACATTGCCCTGGGAGATTTCAGTATGCTGGCTATCCTTGCGTAGACTTAGACCCCAGAGACTGCAGTCCTTGCTAGCACTCATAAGCCACTTGCCGCCGGAATCGGATCCGTCCGAAGAGGCTGGCAGGAAGTCAATGGCACTGACAGCAGCGGAATGGCCGTTTCTTGCGTGAAGAGGTCTGGGGATAGGCGAGAAGGGGGTTGCATCGAAGATCCAAGTCTTCAACGCATTGTCATCACCCGAGGACACCAGCACAGGCTGACCATCCAGGAACTCGACATTGTTGGCACCCATGGACTTCTCACCGCTTGAAACCTTGTGGGCACTGCGGAGAATGCCGGCAACACGGCCTCCCTCGTTCAGATCCCAGAGTGTGATATCGCCACTACCGCTCGACGCGGTGGCCATGACACCTGGGATACGGCCATCGGGACCAGCACCAAGACCGTCGCTTCGGAACGTAATAGAGGTCACGGGAAGACCCTGAGACGAAGCAGCTCGCAGAGCCAAAACTGTCTGGCCAGAGTTGACATTTTGAATCGACAATGCGCCGCTCTTGTACGCAATGGCAACAAGAGATAGAGCGGGGGTAGAGCTAATGGCAGTCACAGGTCCAGCCTCTGCAGACAGAGCAGGCAGAGTGAAAAGGAGCTTTCCGCTGCGGAGGTTCCAAATATCGACCGCTCCATCGGTCCGGCCCACGAAGACCTTGTTCAGATAAGTGGGCATGTTGCACATGACCCCGGTGTAGATCTGATCAGAGCCCTGAACAGGCTGCGCACGCAGACTAGCATAGTGCTCATATGTTCCCGTCTTCCACACTTCAACACCACCAGCCCAGCAACCAACGACCCACGAACCGAACACGACCAATCGCTCGATGGGACCCGTCAGGTCCGAGGGACTATCAAGAGCTGCGACCTTCTTGCCACGCTTGAAAACCCAAACACCACCCGGAGACCGTGGCCGGAGATGGCCCCATGACGCGAATACCTTATCCTGCCATGCGCAAGTTGCGGTGATAATCTCGGGGGTTTGCGGCCGACTCAGGAAGATTAGGTTCAGGCCTCGGCGCAAATCATAAGTCTGCAGGGAATGCCCAACTGAGGTGGTAATCTGGAAGGTCGATTTGCCCAGGCGTACCGAAGTGAAAGGGACCGGTGTGGGTGACACTAATCCTAATGTCTTCGCGGGACATTGTCAGCTGGAGCACGGAGTTGGGAATGTGGCCTTCAACATACACGGAAAGGAGCGAAAATCTTTGAGCCTCGCGCTTGCCCCTTGGCAAGTTGAGATGTGCGCTTCTGCCTCTTTGCCAGAGGCGCATCGTGCTTGTCGCTAGCAGCAGCCATGCTGATATGGAATCTGGAGTCGGACTCGAGATAGATGCCGGCGAGACAGCGGGGATTGTAGAGAGATTAAGAGTACCAATGCAATGCTTCAAGTACCATTGGCTTCCAGATATCCCCCAACACAAACAGCTTAAGTATGTGTTTTGAAGTCGTCTCCGCCTGGCTGAGCTCTCTTTTTTTTTCCGCTGTTTTTTTTCTGCCCCGCCTAATCCTGCATAGCATAGACCGCCTTCTCTTACAGGAAGAAGTACATAATCACGAAGTACTCAGTACCTGCACCGGTGGGAATTGTACCGATCAATATGTCTCAAATATAATACTATGAAGCTCGATAGATTATATATGACGCGCGTATACGTTAATCCTCTGGTGTTAGCCACCCGACTCACTATCATCGGCATTTGCCTCAAAAGGAGATGATCACCTTATCAATGATGTCGTTGCGTATCGAGTACCTCTAGACAAAGTACCTGACTATATGTACAAAAGTACTCTAAATTCCACTAGAAGCACGACATAGACCAAATAAATCCAGTAGACAATTATCACTCAACTATAAGCTCAAACATCCAGCTCGTCATGAGCGCAGATACAAAGTTGGTGAACCTTTTCACCGTCTCTCCGCCTGCGGGCCCATTCTTTGGTAATACAGCTCTCTCTCTCCGAATGCGACGTTGATCTGTTCTTCTCTTCTCTCTTAATTTAACTCTCATTCCTCTCACCCCAGGAGTTTCTGTTATCCTGTTCACCCCCACTTTGCCCCTCTTATCAGTGGGACATTCCCAGTCCTGTCCGTTATGGATCCCGCTGGCTCTCTCAATGCCGACTCCTCGACCCCTACAGATCCTATCATGACGACCTCTCCTCCCTCGTCGATGGATACCGAGAACGAACAGACACCCACAGGGCTGATCCCCGAGTCAACGGTATTGTCGCCAACCAAGCCCGTCCAACCCACAAAGACTGCAGGAAAACCTGACTCGGTATCTGAACCTCGGCCCGGTGGTGTAATTGGACACTCTACACGCTCTTCGAGTCGGGCACCCAGAAGATTCAGCGGAAGCACAGCTGCCAGCACTGCCGCAAGCTCTATCAGCGAGGTGGAATCCAGCTCTCTCAAGCCATGGAGGATTGGAGTCTGTGCATTGGATGTCAAGGCTCGCAGCAAACCGAGCCAGAATATCCTGACCCGGCTCCAATCAAAAGGTGATTTTGAGGTGATTGTCTTTGGAGACAAAGTGATTCTCGATGAGGCGGTGGAAAATTGGCCAGTGTGTGATTTCTTGGTGGCCTTTTTCTCTGATGGATTCCCCTTGGATAAGGCTATTGCGTATGCTAAGCTGCGGAAACCACTGTGTGTCAATGACTTGCCTATGCAAAAGGTTCTGTGGGATCGGCGGCTGTGTCTGCAGATCCTGGATCATATGGGGGTTCCCACCCCGAAGCGGTTGGAAGTCAACCGTGATGGCGGTCCAGTTGTGGAATCACCCGAGCTGGGCCAGCATATCTATCGCCTTACGGGAGTGAAACTTCCAGGTCCGGAAGACGGGACTGGTGGCGGCGCCCCTAGAACTCAGAGTGTTTCCATGTCCGAGGACGGCGAGGCGTTGATTGTTGACGGCAAAGTTTTCAGAAAGCCTTTTGTCGAGAAACCAGTCAATGGTGAAGACCATAATATTCACATCTACTTCCCGAACGACTCGCAATATGGCGGTGGTGGACGAAGGCTCTTCCGAAAGGTTGGCAACAAGAGCTCAGAATATGATCCCAATCTGTCTGTTCCCCGATCTGTCACCGAGAACGATACGAGTTACCTGTACGAACAGTTCCTCAGAGTCGACAATGCTGAGGATGTCAAGGCCTATACAGTGGGGCCCGATTTCTGCCACGCAGAAACCCGCAAATCTCCCGTGGTGGATGGCCTCGTCCGTCGTAACACCCACGGAAAGGAAATACGATACATCACCAAACTTGGCAAGGAAGAAGCGGCAATTGCTTCAAAGATTTCCAATGGATTTGGCCAAAGGATTTGCGGCTTTGACATGCTCCGTGTTGGAGATAAAAGCTACGTCATTGATGTCAATGGTTGGAGTTTTGTCAAGGACAACAATGATTATTATGACAAGTGTGCCAACATTCTGCGAGATATTTTCCTGAATGAGAGACGTAAATGTGAAGGGCCAATTGATGCATCTGAGCCGCCATCTCCAGATATCGGACCATCCAGAAGGAGCACGGCTGGGTCTCATCGCCAGGCCTTGAAAACATTGTTGAAATCTCCTAGCACTTCCAGACTTTACGGTAATCAAGGACCTTACAAGGCACACGATAACCCTCCCTCGGAGGTGTCTACTGCTACTCCATCGGTGGCCTCTTCATCTGGGGTGGAGAGCGCTGATATTGGCGCTGCTCTTAGCAAGCTGAACTCCCGCGAGGGCCACTCTACCTCTCGTGCCTACAGTCCCTCCAATGCGAAGTCACCAGCTCTCTCGGTACAGCACGCCAACGATGAAGCTCTTCCGCCCCTTCCAGCTTCCAAGCACTCTTGGAAATTGAAGGGAATGGTAGCAGTCATCCGGCATGCAGACCGAACTCCCAAGCAAAAGTTCAAGTTCACCTTTCACAGTCAACCCTTTGTGAACTTGCTCAAGGGCCACCAGGAAGAGATAGTGATCAAGGGCGAGGCAGCATTGTCCAGTGTATCTGATGCCGTCAAAGAAGCTATGGAGAAAGGTCTGGAAGATATGGAGAAGCTGAAGTTGCTCCGCACCTCTCTGGAAAAGAAAGGCGGTTGGCCTGGAACGAAAGTCCAGATCAAGCCCATGTTTAGAAAGCGGACGCCTGAGGAGATGGGTGATACTACGCCATTTGTTTCCACTCCAGGAGCTGTCACAGGCGAAGAGCCTCTTACGCCTGTGCTGGAGGATCCGGAGAATCCGGAGACTGAGGAGATGCGCCAGGCACGGAGCGACTCTATCTCTGGTGCAACATTCTCCCGCTTCTCCGCTGCTGAGAATGACTTGATCCTGGATAAATTGCAGCTTGTGATTAAGTGGGGAGGAGAGCCCACTCATGCTGCCCGTTATCAGTCGCAGGATCTTGGATTGAACATGCGTGATGATCTCAAGTTGATGAACAAGGAGGCACTCAACAACGTTCGTCTATTTACCAGCTCGGAACGCAGAGTGAGCACTAGTGGTAAGTTTGACAAGCTGCGTTTGGAAAGGGAATCTCTCGTAATCATTTTTATGCTAATCAACTTTCTAATTAGCACAAATTTGGGCCTGTTCATTTTTAGATCAGAAAGACATTCCCGAAGATTTGATTCAGGTGCGCAAGGACTTGCTCGACGACTCCAATGCCGCCAAGGATGTCATGGACAAGGTCAAGAAGAAGCTGAAATTACTTCTGAGGGAAGGATCTGCGCCTTCGCAATTCGCTTGGCCCAAGGATAGCAACATCCCAGAGCCTTCGGTTGTGCTCGCCACGGTAGTTGAACTAATGCAGTTCCACCGAAGCGTGATGCGACACAACTTTGAGAAGCTTGGCAGCTCACCGCATCTAACTCCACCTATGTCCAATGAGCCTGATACTGCAAGCCAGCCCGATGGAGCCCCGTCTGACCGCGATGATATATCGAACATTCAGGGTCGCTGGTGTGCAGGTGAAGATCCCCGTCTCTTCAAGGAGCGATGGGAGAAGCTCTTCGCAGAATTCTGTGACACCGAAAAGGTCGATCCCAGCAAGCTTTCTGAGCTGTACGACAGCATGAAGTTCGACGCCCTCCACAACCGGCAGTTCCTAGAATGGGTCTTCATGCCTCCAGACATCGTTCCTGATGAGGATGACAGGGCTGGCCTTAAATGCAAGAGCACAATGTCAGAAGCCGGTGAATCTAAGCACGGACAGGAGACTGGATCCGAAAAGCCCGAAGAAAACCAGACGTTTGCTCATCGCTTCGGGTTGAAGAAGCGCAACGTACTCGAGTCGCTCCCTCACCTCCGGGCGCTGGATGATTCATACGATCACTACTTCAAGCTTTTCCCTGGTGCCAAGTCTTCCAAGTGCAAGATGGACGAGCGGCTTTCCAAGCTCCGGGAACTTTACAAACTGGCCAAGGTTCTGTTTGACTATGTGACACCCCAGGAATACGGTATCACCGACAGCGAGAAATTGGAGATTGGTCTCCTGACGTCTCTCCCTCTTCTGCAAGAAATTGTCCGCGATTTGGAAGAAGTGCAAGCATCACAAGATGCCAAGTCTTTCTTCTACTTTACCAAAGAATCTCACATCTACACCCTCCTGAACTGCATCCTGGAAGGTGGAATCCAAACCAAGATCGCCAGGAGCGCCATACCCGAGCTTGACTATCTCTCTCAAATCTGCTTCGAGCTATACGAAGCTCGGGATCACGAGTCGGACTCCTACTCCTACTCCATCCGCATCTCCGTCAGTCCCGGTTGTCACGCCTTTGATCCGCTTGACGTGCAACTCGACTCGAGGCACGCCATCGGCTGCGCCCCGCGACGAAGCTTGACAGCTCATCAGGACTGGAAAGAGGTGATTGAAACATTGAAGGCCAAGTTCAATACGTGAGTTTTCCACGTTCTTCTGGATCTAATGTTTAGTTGCTAACTATACACAGGGTGGAACTCCCCAAAACCTTCATCGCGGTCAACCTGAGTGACAAGCATGTCGCTCATCCTGATGAAGACACCCCGCACGAGGTCTCCCCTGGTCAATAATACTCAGATCATTGACCTTGCTATTTTTGACTACCTTTGAATTGCGTTTGTATTCTATTGACTGTACTATCTAGAAAAGCAATTTAGAAATGGGAATGGAATCATAGTTTACAAGTATAAAATCACATGTAGCTCGAAGGGTCGTAAGCCGGTTGCCCCGCGGGTGCTTATCAAAGCCCGTGGTTGACCTACTTTTTCTTTCTTGATTGTTGGACATTTCATTCCAAGACTCATTCCGAAATGTTTGAATCGGCTGTCGAGGTTGACATAGTTGGCAACACGCTGAAATACGGGGTCGATGGAACGGTTGACTTCGATGACATCCTGTGTATACTGTCGGGTCCAGCGCCCAGTCAGTATCGCGTACTGTTCTTCCAGAAAACCGGAAAAGACAGCGACGAGTCAGAAGAGCACACATATCTAAAGAAGATCGACTTAAAATGTCTACCGACTGAGCTATCTCGTTTTGTAACGACTATCCCAAGCCATCTTCAAAACGCAGAGAGGCCACCGGTTATCCAAGTGGTGATATCCACAGGCTCGGGGACAGGCAACGCCAGAACAGTCTTCCAGGATGCCTTACAACCTCTATTCAACTATACTGGGCTAGAGGGCATCGAAGTCTACGAAACAGAGTCTGCACAGACAATCACCGAACTGACACAATCCAAATTCATCAACCATGCGGCCGAAGGAATTCCCCAAACCATCATCCTTCTCTCAGGCGACGGGGGTTTAATTGACATCCTCGATATCTTCTACAAATCAAAGCAGACACTCAAAATTCCACCTAATATCGCCCTGATTCCATGCGGGACAGGCAACGCCATGGCGAGTTCAATTGGACTACGATCTGGTCCGATACCAGGTCTGCCAACACTACTCCAAGGCACACCATCCCCCATCCCAGTCTTCGGCGCCCGGTTCTCGCCTGGGAGCCGGTTTGTCGTTGATGAGGGTCGTCAGCGGACGCCGATAGAAAGTGACAGCGACGATGCTGCCTATCGGACGATACACGGTGCCGTCGTTGCGAGCTGGGGTCTTCATGCTGCGCTCGTTGCTGACAGTGATACATTTGAATATCGCAAATTCGGTATTGATCGGTTTAAAATGGCTGCCAATGAGCTGCTTTATCCTTCTGATGGTTCTCCGTCTCATCGGTTCAAGGGGAAGATTACTATGACTCTACGGAACGATGGGCACGAGGATGTTCGTCGGGAAATCCTGGGAAGTGATGAGCATATGTATGCCCTTGCTGCAATGGTTCCGCGTCTTGAGAAGGAGTTTTTAATTTCTCCTGAGTCTGTGCCGCTCAGTGGAGAGATGCGGTTCATTCGGTTTGGAATTATGCCGCCGGAAGATGCGTTGCATTTGATGACTTTGGCTTATCAGGGTGGCAAGCATGTTACAGAGGAGACGGTTACATATGCTAATATTGAAGGGCTTCGAATTGATTTCCTGGAAGACGAGGAGAGATGGCGGCGGGTTTGTATTGATGGGAAGATTGTTGCTGTTGAGAGGGATGGTTGGATGGAGTTGTATAAAGAGCCAGAGCGGTTGCTTCACTTGATTCAGTAACAAATACGCATACGCACTCATATTCATGCTAGAATACAATTAGTATATAAGAATACCTTGAAAGTATACAACTATGAGAATGCCGGGTCAGCGCCGATCCAAGGAATCATGTGTCTCTCCCGCCATCTCCGATAAACACAGCCCCAACCCTTCAGGGCAAGTATCAGCTTCTCTTCATGTCCTCTTAAATGTATGATGGAATTGCCCATCCGAATCGATGCTGATCACTGCGCGCACCTATTCCGCCTCTCAATCCCCAGACCGAACACTCTCCTCTAAAGGCTCCCGATACCACACCCTTTCCGGGTGGCGCAAATGCCCCGACGCCAAACGAGCAATAGAGATGTTGATGATCCACCAAGTTGGCAGTGTGCGAGTAGGGGAAGTCGTCAGGTGAGCTTGCCAAGGAGGAAGCGCAGCTCCAAGCATGGAGCGCTCCTCAAACGGGCAGAAATCAACTGTCGCGTGCCCTTGGAGTCTCACGGACTCATAAACTACACTCATATGCTAACTGCAACTGATCAGATATACGATTACATACACGCCCGCAGCTGATCCAATCCTCCCCATCCCCTCCGAGCTCTACGTGCGGGTGAAGAACACCTCCGCTCTCCCATTGCGCGCCGCATACCTCCACGGTCCCTACACGCTCTACGCCGCCTGCTACCCGGCGAAATTTGACCCGAATATCAAGTACGAACGACAAGATCTAGAAGGCGCCCCGCAGTATGAGCCGTATCTCAAGGCTGGGGGTGGTTGGGACGCCGTCATCAAAGTCCCGTCTTATGTCCAGAACGCGCAGAACTTCGGGGCATCCGGGAATCAAGGGTCGAGTGGAGACCAGAGCGTTACCTGGATTGTTGAGATACAGTCGCAGGTGATATTCTCGAGTAGTGCGGCGGTTCATTTCGAGTTGTTGGTAGGTCGCGATGAGAAATCGCTGGAGTACTTCTCTGGTGGGAGTTGGAGTAATGGCCATGGTCCTCCTGGGAAATTGCTAGACCATTGGTCGCCTGATGCTAGGGGGAAACAGGCTCTTGCTGCTAAGGGTGTGTATTCGAAGTCGATTGCTTTGCAAGTCGACGATACGAATAGTTTGTGGAATAGTCCGCCATTTCCAACTGCTGAGGATTCTCAGAATGAGGATGGAACTCATGACTTGAGAACTCCCACGGAGGAGCACCCGGATCCGCAGAGCAGACCCGAAGCACCTGCAGATGCCAAGAAGAACAGGAAGAAGAAGGTACATCTTGTGCTTCTGACGCACGGGTTACACAGCAATCTGGGTACGGACATGCTCTATATGAAAGAGAGCATTGACGCAGCTACGAAGACGCCCAGAAGGAGAGAAAGCCACGCAAAACCTGCTGATGGGAGCCGAGTTGATACCGACGAAGGAGACGAAGAACAAGTTATTGTCCGAGGATTCTCTGGCAACGCTGTTCGCACTGAACGTGGAATTCAATATCTTGGGAAACGTCTGGCCAAATACGTCTTGCTCCTGACATATCCAGATCAACCCTACTTCCCCCTCAAAGGCTCCAAGCCAAGCCCACTCATTCGGCCTTTTACTGCTCGCAAACAGCATACTCATGCGTCTCACCCTCACCATGTGGCAACTGAGAACAGCGGCAACACCATCGGAGGTGAAGATCACCCTTACCAGATTACAAGTATCAGTTTTATCGGACATTCCCTGGGAGGACTGATTCAGACGTATGCGATTGCCTACATTCAAAAGCACTCCCCCGAGTTCTTTGATAAGATCCAGCCGGTCAACTTCATCGCTCTCGCAAGTCCTTTCCTCGGCCTCAGCAATGAAAACCCAATGTATGTCCGCTTTGCCCTAGATTTGGGTCTTGTTGGTCGTACTGGACAAGATCTCGGATTGAGCTGGACAGCACCGAAAGTACGAAGTGGCTGGGGGGCCATCATTGCCGGAAGAGGAGATTCGGCAAAAGACCAAGCCCAACCGGATCCTGGTTCCAAGCCGCTTCTGCGGATTCTACCATGTGGTCCTGCGCATGAGGTTCTCAGCAAGTTTCAGCATCGTACTGTGTATTCGAACGTGGTGAACGATGGAATTGTTCCTCTACGCACTTCTTGTCTGCTCTTCCTAGACTGGAAAGGTCTGGACCGGGTTGAGAAGGCGAGGAGGGACAATGGACTTGTCGGAACTATGGCTGAATGGGGCTGGGCAGAGTTGACTGGAGCACATTCGAAGTCTCCACGGTTGGGTCGCTCCGGTGATGAATCACCTCTGACTGAATTAGCCGAGACTGGTCAGCATTCACATCCCACCATTCAAGTTCCGCAAAGACAGAAAGGCGATGAGGTGGACGAGGCTGTCGCTCCGAGACCCGGCCAGTTCCTTGCGCCACCTAGTAATCGTTCGTCTCACATGAGTATTCCAGAAGAGGAATCCGTGAAAGAGGATATCTCAGGAAATGCTTCTCCTGGTCCTCTGGACACATTTTTCTCACTATTCCGCCCCAAGGAGAACAAGACTCCCCATAGTGGCAAGAATTCCCGAATCTACAGACGCAGCCAGACTCTAGGCTCTTTTGAGGCTGGTGATGGCCCAGCGCCTGTTACCCACGGCCATTCCACATACGAGAACGACGGCGTCCACACGCCTCCGAAAACAACCTTCTTCGAGTCTGCAGGAGACTTACTGATGCCACCACTTCCACCACCAGAGTTCATCTTGGACCCTGCCTCAAGACCCAGAACCATCTTCCACGACCGCATATACCATCCGGAAGATATACCCCCTCCCATGCCGGTCAAGCGGCGCACATTGGCTTTCGGTTCACTACAGAACAAACAATCAAAGTCAGCACCCAATCCGGCGGCGACGCAATTACCCCCAGGCTCTAGCTCCAGTGCAAACAGCGCCGAGAGCGGCCTCAAGGTCGAGGAGAAAATCGCAAGAGCCTACCACCGCGATCTATCCTGGCGCAAGGTCCTAGTCCGACTCGAGCCGGATGCTCATAATAACATTATCGTGCGACGCATGTTCACCAACGCCCACGGCTGGCCTGTCGTGAAACACTTAGTTGATACGCACTTCGCCCACATGCCCGTTATCGATATTCAAGATTCACAAAAGCGGAGCGTGGACCGAGCAATGTCTCCCAATGTCGGGCCGACCAGCTCAGGAGATGAGGTCGAAGACCAGACCAAGACGCCTGAATTGGAGACCGATAAGGATACAGATGATTTGCCTGATGTCTCTGGTTTGAATGTGTCTGATCCGTTGCGGAACCATGGTCATCGGAGTGATGCATTCTCGGGTGAGAATGAATCCCAACGGACTATGAGCCCGACTGAACAGGGAAACAGCGTATCGAGGCAGGATTCGGCTCGATGGACTGATCGAGAAGTTGACGAAGATGATTGCGAGTCTGGTTTTGAAGAGGAAGTTAACTCTGGTTTCCGATGGTCTAGACAGATGTAGGGCTCTACTCGCCCTTGGATTGTACATACTACCTTATATTTCGGATATACCCTGTAATGAAGTACTGAAAGCACTGATGGAACTTAAACAATGCTCTCTACCTAGAAAGACGAAGTAATTCTAAATCAATAAACCATCTCACCCTGAATGTACCCCCAAAACTCCTTCACAATCTCCTCCTGCCCAACACCACCAGGCGAACCCCTCACAGCAAGGTATTTCCTCCCATCCAACGTAGCCTCCCACTCCCCCTTATTCCCACCAACCATCCTCCCACCCGCCTCACTCAAAATAACCCAACCAGCACAAACATCCCAAGCCCAACACCCACCCTCCCAATACAAATCAACCGTCCCCTCAGCAACAGCACAAAGATTCAAGGCCGCAGACCCCAAACTCCTAAATGACCTAACCATCGCGCCACCATCATCCCTCGACCTCGCAAGCTTCTCAAACGTCTTGACCTTTGTATCGAAATTGCCCCCACTCCGATCAGACCCCCATTCAATAGCCACAAGCGCATTTGACAGTCCGGTCAATGGCTCAACATTACTCCCCCGCAGCGGCAATTGAGTCGTCCGGTTCACGAACGCGCCTTGGCCCTTGATGGCTGAGTAGAGCGTTTTCGTAGAGGGATTGTACACAACGCCCACGACGGGAATCCGGTTCACCGCGAAACCGAGAGACACGCAGGCAAAGGGGAAGTTGTGGATGAAATTGATTGTGCCGTCTATTGGGTCTACGATGAAGGTTGGTGCGTCTGTTAGGGGTTTGCTTGGGTCGTAGGTTTCTTCGCCGTGGAAGGTGTAGTTTGGGTATTTTGTTTGTAGGGAGGTTGAGATCATGTTTTCGACAGCGCGGTCGTATTCTGTTACGAGGTCCGCGCCTGGATTATGTTAGTTTGGTTTGGTTTGTGGTTGGGGGTTGGGCTGAGGGGCGAGATGAACGGACTGTTCTTTTTGGCTCCTGTGCCGCTGGTTTCTGGGAGGGCATTGTTGATTATGTCGCCGGCTTTAAACGCTAGTTCGATGAGGTAGTCGTGGATTTCTGAGAGGTTTGGAGTCTCCATTTTGGTGTAGTGTAGGGATTGTAGGAAGTGTGAGGTTCAAGTATGGAGGGTGAGGATCTCCCCGGATAGCGCTAGAGGCGGGGCAGCCGGAGATTAGAGGCAATTGACTACGATATTGTAGGTAGAGTGTCTATTTAATATTATGAACGTAATTCGAGTAATAAAATAGACGCAACTACATGTACATATAGCTATAACTTATGTACATACTGGAATGTATAGATCCGCTTGGTCAGAGATCTCCGCGCTTCTAGTGACGTCGAAACACCCCACTTCCGAAAAAAAATCTTAGGGCACACTTCATACTCACTTGAACTTGTACACAGGTTGACACAGGCTCATACGCTATTTGAGCACATTATGCCGACCGAACTCGAAGAGGTAAGACAGACAAAAGTGTGTTGCGGCATTTAGAGGCTCACCAATTCTATAGCTGGTGGAATTCCTCCACCACGGAAACTCCCAGATCAGACAAATCGGTACAAAATCCTCTCGGGAATACCAGCGCATGAACTTACAGTATATCCCTAGCTTGCGAAAACCTCGTCGGCTTCTCCACTGCGCAGCCTGACCTGTTCAAGCGCCAACAACTACTGCCCGTCCGCGACCTGAAGCTTCTGGCCCGCGATTACACCGTGCGTTGAGATCGATCTAATGGAGGGACATACCAACTGATGTGCTGTTTAGCCAATTGCGAAAAATGCATTGACAATGCTGGTCAATTTGTCCGGTGACGAGGAAGTGTTGAAGATCCTCGCCGAGGATGACCAATTCATTGAGACCTTGCTCTTGAAGTTGACTGTGAGTGAAGCCGAAAATATATGCGCATGATCCATACTGATATAGCTGAATCAGAGTGTCAAGGATCCCAACGTCGACGAAGTCGCCATGCTGCTGGCCAACTTGGTCAAGTCCGACGTCCTCCAAAAACTGTTCGAGCTGAAGCGCAAAGTCCCCGAGCCTGTATCGACCTCTGAGAACGCCATCGACCAGATTATGGACTGCTTCGTCAAGGGTGCCGAGGGTGGTCTCAACAAGCATGCCAACTATGATTACCTGTCATACGTATTCGCCGATCTATCCCAGACCGAGAAGGGTCGGGCGTATTTCACTGAGCGCCAGGAGTACGATGGCGTCGTGCCCATTACCAAGCTGACCGTCTTCACCGAGCACAAGAGCAACATCCGCCGAAAGGGTGTAGCTTCCACAATCAAGAACGTGGCCTTCGACATAGCCTCGCATCCCATGCTCTTCGACGAGGACGCTGTTAACCTCTTGCCTTACCTGCTTCTCCCCCTTGCTGGACCCGAGGAATTCTCCGACGAAGATACCATGGACATGCTGCCCGATCTCCAGCTGCTGCCCCCTGACAAGCAGCGTGACAGCGACAACACTATCGTCACTACCCACCTTGAAACATTGCTCCTCATGACTACCACTCGGGAAGGTCGGGATAAGATGCGTGCTGTCAAGGTCTACCCTCTGATCCGTGAGACACATTTGCATGTGGCGGATGAGAATGTGCAAGAGGCTTGCGACCGGTTGGTGCAGGTGCTCATGCGTGACGAGGAGGGTGAGGGCCAAGAGCCCGAGCAGCCTCAACTAGAGCCTGCTAAAGACGAGGATGATCAGGTTGTAGAACTGTTTTAGCGATAGATACCTCTGAATTATGTATATAGAAATCACAGAGTCACATTCAATGATATAAAGAACGTAGACATCGACTTACAGTATAGACGTAAGGCTGGGAGATCAAAGGCCGATGTCGGGTGGGTCGTCCCTCATCACACTACGACTCTAGTCCCGACTAGCTTTGCTCTCTCCCACCTCTGATTCCCCCAATGCACAAAACAAAATGAGCTACTGCATGCCCTAAACCGGAAATACACACAGTATTTCATCATCCCCCCACCATAACGACGACCGATATTCCACTGCGGACGCGGAAGCTGTCTTGCCCCTCGGTCCCGAGGCGCAAGTGGCTTCCCGCGGATCAGAATCAAGATCCAATCGAGTCAAATCCTTGCAACAATGGAAACAGCGACAGCGATTCAGACAGCGATTCAGACATCGATTTACCGCCCGACGTGAACCCGGACACAGGGACAATTGCCCAGCGCGTGCGGGCCTTCATGTCGCGCGCCCCTCTTCTCCGCTCGTCGCCCGCGCTGGGTGCCTCGTCTTACGGAGCCGTGGGCATCCCAGACGGAGACGGAGATGGAGATGGAGATGGGTCAGATGGGATAGAGGCCGAGGCTGAGGCTGCGACCGGGACTGGGGCTAGGACTGAGACTGGCACTACCAGGTCGTCTGGTTCCCGTCGTCATGCTCGGTTGCAGCGCGCTAGCTTTGAAAATGGTGCTCCGAGCTCGAGTGCTGGACCCAGGCGGTCTAATTCTTTTATCAGGCGGCGGAATAGCATGTATGCTGAGAGGCGCAATCGGAGGCCTTCTTCTGCTGCGTCTGATGTTGGCATGGGTGCTGATTCCAAGTTCTCGTTTGCTACTGGACTGGCTGTCCCGGGTAACCCGGTCATGCAGGAGACGCCCGCTTCGTCGCCTTATATGGCTAGTGATGAAGAAGATGTTTTGGATATTGACGATGATTATTCGAAGTCTTCGGATGAGGATCCGCCGGATAATTCGCCGTAAGTTGGGAGGATGCCGAGCTAGTCTGTATATGAAGGTTCATTGCTGATATATTTTGATCTCAGGTATGCTCAAGTACGAGCTTCGGTGCCGGCCACAGACAATGTCACTCTTTCCATTAACAGTATGCTCATCAATCTCGAGTCTTTGGCTTTCATCTGATGTTGGATTTAGCACCACGAATGTGGATTTTGTCATTGCTCTTTTCTTTAACAGGTTCGGCCGCCAATCTTTTCTTTTCGCTGCGCTATCCCAGCGTGGCTATTACTCCAATTATTGCTCTCGTTTTGGTACATCCGCTTGGCAAGTTTTGGGATGTACTCTTCAAACACACAGGCGATCCTATCGAAGTATTCGAGAACGGAACCCTTCATCATCGGGAAGCGCTCAACGGCGATATCGATGCTCCTCCCACTTCATTGGGGACTCGAGCCAGGCTTTGGTTTGGCCAGGGCCATTGGAACGAGAAAGAACATGCTTGTGTATACATCAGCAGCAATGTTTCTTTTGGATTCGCTTTCGCCACTGATGTTAGTATACCCCGAAGTTTTAGACACTTCCAAAATCTGACGGAAATAACAGGTTCTTGTTGAGCAACACAAATTTTACAACCAGGACGTTCCGATCATGTACCAACTGTTGCTCATCATATCGACCCAAGTCCTAGGTTATGCATTCGCCGGACTGACTCGACGATTCTTGGTGCGGCCTTCGGCCATGATCTGGCCAGGCACTCTGATGTCTACTGCCATGTTTTCTACCATGCACAAGTCTGTCAACAAAAAGGCCAACGGGTGGAGTATCTCCCGATACAAGTTTTTCATCATTGTCTGGGCAGGAGCGTTTCTCTGGTACTTCGTTCCAGGTTTGTTGATGCCTGCTCTCAGCTACTTCAACGTTATCACCTGGTTGGCGCCTAAAAATGTTGTCGTTTCAAACTTGGTATGTGCTAGAATCTATCTAAAATTGTTATCTCGCTGACTTGTGTTAGTTTGGCGTTGCTTCGGGTCTTGGAATGTTCCCTTTGACCTTTGATTGGGCTCAAATTGCCTACATTGGCTCTCCATTGCTAACGCCTTGGTGGGCCGCAGCCAACATTGTGACAGGCTTAGTGGTTGTCATTTGGGCTGTTGCTCCGATCCTCTGTAAGACGTAACACCTCAACCTCCCTATCCATGCTCTGCTAACGACGAACAGATTACAAAAATGCTTTTTTCTCCTCATACATGCCCATTCTCTCAACAGCCGTGTTTGATAACACTGGCAAACCTTACAAGGTCAGCCGAATCCTAACCGGAGAGTTCTTGTTCGATGAGCAGGCCTATAAGGACTACTCCCCGGTCTACCTCCCAATCACCTACGTATTGTCATATGGAGTACAGTTCGCTGCTTTGACATCTCTCGTCACCCACACTATTTGCTGGTATGGGAAAGACATCTGGCAACAAACTAGAAAGGCCTTTGACGAGCGACAAGATGTCCCAGCCATGGAGACATACCAACCTCTTCGAGATGACAACGGTGGCAGCCAGCAGAGCTTTGATATCTCAAGAACTGGCTCAGATCCTCGCCTGGAAAGCCAACTGGGAATGGAAGATGTCCATTGCCGCTTGATGAGGCGCTATGAGGATGCTCCTCTCACGTGGTATATACTTGTGTTCATTTCCATGTTGGCAATTGCCACTTTTACGGTGGAATAGTAGGTGTGCTGTATTCTTCTTCGTTTCATCCAAACTAACAATTTTCAAGCTATCCCACCCACCTTCCCTGGTACGGGCTACTCCTAGCTCTCATCATCACCAGTCTCTTCTTCATTCCAGTGGGCATCATCATGGCAGTCACAAACCAACACAGCAGTCTCTACCTGGTTTGCCAACTTATCTGTGGCATTGTATTCCCAGGAAGGCCTGTGGCAAACATGATCTTCGTGACCTACTCATACATCAGCTCTGCGCAAGGCATCAAGTTCTCCTCAGACCTAAAACTTGGTCACTACATGAAAATCCCACCCCGAATCTTATTTGGCGTGCAAATGATGGCAACATTGGTTTCCAGTCTAACACAGATTGGCGTGCTGAACTGGATGTTTACCTATATCCCGAAACTGTGCACACCCGAAGCCATCAACGGTTTCAACTGCCCCATCGCCCGAGTCCATTTCAACGGCAGCATTCTCTGGGGAGTCGTCGGTCCCCAGCGCTTCTTCGGCCCAGAAGGCCTCTACAGACCACTTGTATGGGCCTTTTTGGTAGGTGCTGTGGCACCGCTGGGAGCTTGGCTCCTAGGCCGACACAGCAAGAAGAGTTTCTGGCGTAAGGTCAACTTCCCCATTCTATTCGGCAGTCTAAGTTGGATCCCGCCCGCCACGGGACTCAACTTCTCCATTTGGGCACTTGTCTGTTTCATATTCAATTATGTGATCCGGAGAAAGAGGACTGCTTGGTGGGAGAAATATGCCATGACTTTGTCTGCTGCCTTGGACTCCGGGTTGGCGTTTGCGGTTGTGGTTGTCTTCTTTGCTTTCATTTACCCCGGTTGGGTTGATGGATTCAAGTGGTGGGGAACGGAGATTTACAAACAGGTGAGTCCTTTCACGGTCTTCTTCTCTTTTGATGTTGGGTTTTGGTACTAACTTTATTGTTTGTAGGGCTGTGACTGGATTGCTTGTCCGTATAAACAATTAGAGCCTGGTCAAAAGTTTGGTCAGTAGAGCTGGAGATGAAAGAAATCAGCTCAAAGCACAATTATATAAAGAAGTTATGAAAGAATATCAATAAGTGAATGAAGTAACGTTAAATCATAACGTTATAAAAGTTAACGTTAGTTAAACTATAAGTTAAACCGTTCGGTTGATATGGAAGAACACCGGGACCGAGCTGACTAAGCTCGCCGTCATACCTCGCGACTCCAAGCACATCTCCTCATCCGTGCCTTTTTCCATCTCTCACCACCTTCCGCCAGCTACCTCTGTCGCAAATCCCTGGCTGGAGCTCCTTTGAGTCATTAGCTGTCACCCTCCTTAATGTTGATGTGATCACGAGGTCGTATCACTTTCTACAGCCTTGCCAACGCAGCTGTACCGGAAAGATGTCGACTCCTACAAACCCCTCGAATGCCCGAACCCCAACAGGACCAAATGGTGCGCCACCGATGAGAATGCGCCGTCCAAAGGCCGCAGATCCATTGGTCAGACCAAAAAGGAGACCAGCTCCCAAGCCAGCCGGAGCCCCTCCGGCCGGTCGGACAGCCACCAAGACTCTTCCTACACGGCCCCCGGTCTCCAATATCCCGCCCGCTCCTGTCGAGAGGCCCCAACTCGGTGTGAGCAGCAATAATGCCACCGTCAATGGATTCAGCGGTCCCTTGCTCACTGATAAATACTTTGATTACCCGGTCGTCACGACAAAGCGAGCTCTGATGGAAGGATTGAAGCACCACATTGCGCGTTTCGCCTCAAAGAAGAACGTCGACCCCCGCGATGAATCACAATTCACGCGTCCAGTCCGACTGCACCGTCGTGACCCACGGCGCGGTCAAGACGCACATGCGTCACGTTTCGAAGACCCAGATGCTCCGCCTATGGATGAGGCCGAGCGTGAAGCCTTCGATGCGCGCAGGGCAGCACGTGAGAAGGAGCGTGCCGAGAATATGGCTCAGATTGCGCCTGCTCTGGGTACTACCTCGAAACGACCTAATGCCCCGAAACAAAAGACCCAGCAGGTCTTCAAGTCTGATATGACACCCGAGGAGGTTGCGAAAATGCGAATCAAGTACGAGGAGGCTTTGCAATGGCATCTGGAGGATTTCGATAACAAGCATACTTGGGTTGGAAACTACGAGGCTGCTCTGTCTGGGACCCATGCGGTTTTTGTTCTGGATGGTGGGAAGATGCGTATGATTCCGGCCGAGAAGTGGTACAAATTTAGTGCCAAGAGTAACTTCAAGGCTTTGACTATTGAGGAAGCTGAGAAGTTCATGGCTAAGAAAGTCAAGGACCCCAGATGGTTCATGGAAAAGCAGCAAGAGCTGGAACAGAAGAGGGAATTGGACATTTATGCTAAGCAGCGGAAGGTCTATGCTGGCAAGCAGGGCAATCCCACCTCTGGGGGCGCGGGACTGGAGGCCGGTGAAATGGACTTTGAAGAAGATCGTTTCGCTGACGATGAAGAGCACGATGATGGCCTCTTCAATGATGATGAAGATGCCAAGGAAGCCGAGAAGAGAATCAAAGAGGACCAGCTCAAGGCCAATGTCTTCGATCTCAAGGATGAGAAGGACTACGAGGCAGAGGAGAAGCGGGAGTTGCGTGAACGAGAGGCTCGCCATGTGCTGGGCAAGAGTGTGCGCAAAGCTCTAAAGAGGAGAGAGAAGAACTTTGACTACAGCAGTGGGTCTGAAAACAACCCGTACTCGGATGACGAGGTAGGTCACGTCCTGCATGTGTCGCCAGTCTATATTGGGACAGTATTGACCTTTCCCCGCAGAGTTCCGATGACACCGAGACCGAGAAGGCAAAGGAAGAGGAGCGCAAGAAGGCTGAAGCCGAGAAAGAGAAAGAAGCTTCGTCCAAGGGCACCAACACACCTTCAGGCCGCCCCAAGCACACAGACCCCCTCAAGAAATCAGCCGCTGGCCGGAAGCGACTCGGTTCTCCCACCTCAGACGCAAGTGGAACCGACACATCTCGCAAGAAGCCCAAGAAGGCCAACCCTACATCCCAACCCCCGTCCCGTCCAATGTCCCCATCCGCCATCCAGGTACGTGCAATCCCCCATCACCCACAAATCCACATACTAACCCGAATCAGACGGGCACAAAACGCGTCCGCATCCCCGGCAGCGGCGCAAACTCCGGCAGCGACGTCGAAGCCGGCGCAGCCTCCAGCAACGAAACAAATGAAAACAACAAAAAGAAACTAAAACTCAACCCGCCCAACGCCACCTCCCGCAGCGGCACACCGTCCGGCTCCCGCGCCGGATCACCCATGGCCGGCCGACACCCCGGCAGCCGCGCCAGCAGCCCCGAAGGACCAATGCGTGGAGGCCGCGTGTCAACGCCCCTCTCTGCTTCTGGATCTGGCTCGTTTCCGACGCCGGCGGAGATCCACGCTGCTATTCCTGCTTCGGGGATTTCTAGTGGTGATCTGCTGAAGCTTTTCCGGCCGAGGATTGGAGATAATCATCGGAAGTTTATTGCTATTGTTAAGGATGTCAGTGTTTATGGGAAGGAGGATCGGATGTTAAGGCCTGGTCCTTGGAAGGGAAATTAATGGTTTTCAAGGGTTGAGGTGAGGTGAGGTGAAGTTGATGAATGTGAGGATGGAGATGAGATGGTGATGGATCTGGCAGTGGATATGTGTTGCAGATGCAGATTGCAGATATAGTTGCTGCTTTCTTTGGAAATACTTTAACTACAAGTTCATGGTCTAATGTTCTAGATGAGTTTCATCTGAAGTTCTGAAGTAATCAATACGTTTTCTTGCGGGATATTATTTGATCCATTGCCCGTGGACTCCGGACAATTTATTTGACAGTACTCAGTAAATCCACTGCAACTGGCCTACTCGACGATACTACATTTTACAATGGACATATTCAAAGAGAAGAAAATAAATTAAACAAACAATGAGATTCATTTACATGCATATAAAACTCCATGGCTTTGAGACATATCACGTAATGACCCAATGGAAACAGGTCTCTATCAAAAGCACAACATTATAACAACTCGGGGAATCAAATTCAAAAGATTAAGCGGCACGAGCAGCGTTCTCAGTGCCCTCCTCGTACTTCTCCCAGTTGGCTAGAATGGAAGCAATGCGAGGGGAGTTGGTGAGACGGTAGACGTCCTCGAAATACTCCTTGGTGATCTCGAAGGGACGGGCAGTGACGTTGGGGATGTACTTGCCGACCAGCTTGCTGGGGTCGATGGTGGTCTTGTTGATCTTCTTCAGCAAGAAGGAACGGAAGGGCTTGACACCGGAGCGCAGGAAGGTACTGTGGAAGGGCACGTCGATACCCTTGAGAGGGATGGTGGCGAAGCCGCGCTCCAGGTTGATGGGGCGGGGCTTGGCTTCGGTTTGCTTGACGCACTCCTGGATGATGCCTACGAGGTGCTCCTTGACATCTTCCAGGGACATGCTCTGCATGAGAGCGGGGATGTCAATGTTCTGCGCCTTGAGGAAGTTGAGAAGGTTGGTCAGGCAGTCGAGGGCGCGGAGGTCACCAGCGGCAACGTATTGCATGTTGGCAACGTTGTAGTTGACGATCTCCAGTAGCCAACCGGTGGTCTCGGCGATGTTCTCGACAACGTACTGAAGAGCCTGCTCATTGAAGGTCTTCGAGATACGGCTGGGGTTGACAGCGCACATGGAGTAGTTGGAGCGACCCTGCTCGTCACGCTCGACGGCAACTTGCATGGTCAAACCACGATAGAACACGACAGACACCAAGCTCTCAATGGGCATGACATCGGCCAAAGCAGCCAGGGCAGAGTATTCACCGAGCGAGTGACCGGCGAAGCTGCTGTCACGCTGAACCAAGCCCTTGGAGCGCATGTCCTCGAAGCTGGCCTTCTCCATCAGGGTCAGGGCAGGCTGAGTGAACTGGGTGGCAGAGAGAAGACCAGTGGGGGAGCGGTAGGTGTATGAGGCAGTGTTCTCATCAACCTCCTTGAAGATCTTCTCCGACTTGATGGAGCCATCGGCGTTCACAGACTCGAAGGTCATCGCCATGTAGTTCTGGCGGATGGCCTTACCACGGGGACCACCGAAGTAGACAGTGAGTTCCTTGGGGTTGTTCTTGACAATGTCGATGATGGAAAGACCGTAGTTCTCCATGAAGTGGCGATCAGCACGGTCCCAGACCTCCTGGGCAACAGGGCTGCTGGCGTAGAGCTCCATACCCATGCCCTGCTCCTGAGAACCTTGACCGGTGAAGACGTAAGAGGTAACGGGCTGCTCAACCTCGGCTTCACCCTGGAGAACCTTGTCTTCCGTCTCCTTGTTGAGGGCCTCGACCTTGATGATCTTACGACCAGCAATCATACCGACGTGCTGGAGCTTGACAGTGATCATATCGTTGGGCAGGACCATGCCGACCAGGGAAACCTGGAAGCCACGAACACGGCCAATGTTGTTCTCAGCGGCCCAGGTCTCAACAAGGCTGCGAACAGCGGCACTGCTGTACATGCCGTGAGTGATGGTTCCGGGCAGGTTGGCGTAGCTGGAGAAGACACGCGAAACGTGAATAGGGTTGTAGTCGCCAGAGACGCGAGCGTAGGTCTCGTTGGATGCGGGAGCACGCAGTTCCAGAGCAGTCTTGCCACTGAGAGGGATGGGGTTCTCGAAGTAGACGGGCTGCTCAATGGAAGTACCGTTACGCTGGAGGTAGTCGATGACAGGATTACCGTGGGAGTCACCGGCCTCGTACTCAACGGAAGCGACCTGGATGACCTCCTTGGTGGGAAGCTCGAGGAGAGCCTGACCGATAGTCTGGACATTGCTGAACACAGTGTGGTTCTTGAAGCGGATCAAACTCTGCAGACGGAAGGTCAGGGTTGCGCCGAGGAGCTCGGTCTCGGAGTCGTCCACGCGGAACCACTCCTTGGAGCGCAGGATGGCAACATCCCGGCTAGTGGCCAAGTGAACCTGCATGGGGACCTCATCCTTGCGCTGGAAGGTGTTCTCAAAGTCGGTGTAAGCACCGCGGTAGAGGAACTGGCTAGTGACGTGCATGATGGGCTTGCCCTCGCGGGTGATAGTACCGCAAACCTCAACCATCTTACCAGACTCCTGGTTGATGACGGCGTTGATCTGAGCAGTGGTATCCAAGACATCGCCAACCTTGAGGGGCTGGGCACCGGGAACCATCTTGAAACCGTTGGACAAGTGAACCAGCTTCAGGAGGTCACCATCAATGGTGCGGGGGAAGATGGGCTTAGTGATAGCCTTCCAACCGGCCACGATGGCAAAGTCCATGGGCGCGAAGACCTCCTTACCGGGACGGTCAACGAAAGCCTCGCCGGTGTTGCCAACGGCGTGGACAAAGTCGGCAACAGCCTGGGAGGTGATGGTCTCACGGCCACCGCTGAAAGTGGCGGTGGTAGGAGTGTCGAAGGGCACATCCTTGTTGCCGAACCAGATGCGGTAGTAGAACTCCTTGATGCGGTCGTTGCGGTCACCCATGACTTCGCGGATGGGAGCGTAACCAGTCTCGGGGTGGTAGGTGAACAGGAAGGACAAGGTGGTGACACCGTTCTCAGCGGTGCGGCCCTCGAAGAGGGTCAGGCTGATCTGACCGTTCTCGTTCATCTTGGCCTCGACAGTCTTGACAAGCTTGCCAGACTGGTAGGGCTCACGGACGCTGATAACCGTCTTGGCAGGGTCATTGGGGTTGGCAATCTCAACAAACATGCCCCCAGTGGGTGCAACAATGCGCTTCATAGGGTTGGTCTGGAAACGGTGGCCCTGAACGAAGACATCGGCCAGGAACAGAGCGTGTCTCCAGGAGTAGACGTTACCAGCCAAAAGGCTGAGCCAGCGGTCAGAGTCAGGCAGGACTGCGGAGGGAGAGGAAGACAGGCGGAAGCTGATCTTGTTGGACTCCTCGGAGACGGTGAGGCCGTCAAGTTCAGACTCAGTGTCGGTGTTTAGGAGCTGTCCACCGAAGTACTCGATGGTGGGGATCTTGGACTTCTCGCTACCGTAGACATCACGCAGAAGGCCGGCGATGTGTCCCTGGTGAATACCATCAAGGATGTCCTTGACGGGCTCATCGATGATGTTGGAGAATCGGGCGGCCATGGGGCCCTGAAGAATACAAGTACGGCCGACATCCTGGTCAACAACGGCCTCAAGGTCCTCACTCTGCCACAGAGAATCCTTCTTGAAGAAGAACTCGAAGTTCTCGTCCAGGACGGGAACGAAAGGAACGGGCTTCTGCCCACGTCGCTGACAGAGCAGCAGGAAGTGCTGCACATCCTGGGCGTTGATCAACTGGCTAGCAGCCTCGGGGTAGGCAGCCAGGATGTTCTTAACGGCAGGGTAGGGAGTGTCGAGGTCAGAGTAACTCTGCAACAGAGAAGCCTGGCCCTCGGCAGTGGTGAAACGCTCCTCAACACGGCGAATGAAGTCACCGGTCAACTTCTTCAGGGAAGGATCAATCCAGCGGGACTCGTGCTTGACGTACATGAGATCCACCATACGGTGAACAACCTCGGTGTAGGTCATGTCTTCGAGATCCACGGTCTCACCAGCGGCGTTGCGACCGAACCACACCTTGTGGAAGTCATCGTTGAGCTTCTTGATGATGTAGTTGCGCTGCTTCTTCAACTCAGGAACCCGCTTGGCTTTGTCAAGCTTGAAGATCTTCTGGTCCATCTCCTGCCAGAACAGCACACCGCGGGTGGCCAGCTTGTGGATGGGCTCACCCATCTCGGAGAGGACAGTGATCACACCGCCGGTGGCACCCTTGTATGTCTTCTCCCACTCGGCATCGTCGACACCAGGAGCATCGGCAATAGCCTTCTTGGCATTGTGAGAAGTGTGGGCCTCCTTGGCGATCATCATACGAGAACCGAAGAGACAGCCATCGAAGGGCATGGGAGGGTAGCCGTACTTGTGGGACCATTCACCAGAGAGGTAAGGGTACGTGTCCTCGGAGCCACCGAAGCCACTGCCAGCAACAAGAATAATGTTATCCTGCTTGCGAATGCGGCCGTACATCTGAAGCACGGGCTGGTGGAAGTCCTCGAACGAGTGGTGACCACCACCACGACCACCGGTCCATTGAAGGATGATGGGGAACTTGGGGTTGGCCTTGGCGACGTTGATGACTTGCTGAATGGCGTCGACGGAACCGGGCTTGAAGGCGATGTGCTTAATGCCAAGAGTCTCAATGTACTCATTGGCGACTTCAATGGAGGGCACACCGGCACCGATGGTCAGACCCTCAATGGGCACGCCCTCGGCACGCAAGCGACCGATGAGAGGGATCTGCCAGGCCATGGCACGGGGGTTGACGTAGATCAAGTTGATAGTGATACCACGTCCAGGAGGAATGGCCTTCTCGATCTTGGTGATGGCCTCGGTCATGGTCTTAGCGTTGTAGTAACCACCACCAGCCAGCTCAATGTGGTAGCCAGCGTTCATAGTGGCGGCCACAAAGTCCCAGGGGACGGTAGTGGGGGTCATACCAGCAACCATCACAGGAGGAATACCCAGCAGGCGACTCATCTTGGTGTCGACATAGGTTTGACCGGTAGAGGTCT